GACAGTCAAGGATGAAACAGGTCCCAAGCGCTTCCCAAAGACAATCACTCTTCACGCGAGGAAGATCCAATTTATTGGCTATTCAAGCTCAAAATTAAAGAGCTCCCTGATAACGTTTAAACAGTGAAAATGTTACATATTTACATAACCAACAAGTAAGTGTTTCTAGCCATTTGTAAGACAAAATAATTTCCCCATGGGGCTGAGAATGAGAAGTATCTGCCCAAGAAGTAATCACTTGAACATATGCAAGGTATTACAATGGAAGACAGAAATTTAAAATATTTGAAACAGAGCTGTTACATTACTTCAGCCGTGCTGTCACTCAAAATATGGCTAAAATATTCCAGCTACAATAACATGTATGCATTTCCCAAGTCTCCCTGTACTACCTCAGACCTCTTTGTAATTTTGGGCATTCCTGTCTTGGACACTAACTTTGATCCTTCTTTTTTGTAAACTAATTCTCTCTGAAGTCTTGCTCTTTTTTTTTTTTTTTTTTTTTTTTATGTACTTTTTATGCTGAAGAACTGATTTTTTTTCCAGAGATTTTGGGGTCTCAGATTTTTTTTTTTTTTTTTTTTTATGATGGTTGGATAGCACAAAATACAAATTTCAAGTCCCGGAGCCTATTTCTAAAGGTGGGTAGCATAAAAATTTTTCCACCTGCCAACAGCTTCTTATTTAAAATGAGCCAACTTCAGCTCTGTTGTGTCTAGTAATTGCTTTCTGGCTGGTGGACAAAGAACTTTACAGGTCAAAATACAAAAAAAAATAAATTAAATCTCATCTCAGAAACAGAAGAAGCCAGTAAGGTCCTGCGCACTCCTTCTCTTAAGGAGCCATATTAAGCAAACACAGCTGCCAAGCTGGTATCACTGTGAAAATAATTTTCACTGAGAATTGCATTGCTCATGGTGAATCCTCCAGCGACAAGAACACATGCTGAGGTCAAAGGTTTCATCTGCTCAAAGAAAGCAGAAAACACTCCTATGAAACAAAAGCCTGAAGAGTCCCAGCTCTCAAAATTATGAGATTCAAGAGAGATTTTAGGTCTCAAATTCATTCATAAGATTTTATCTACACTTCTGTGAAGGACAGACATGCCCCCAGCACACATCAAGATTGCTCATATGGCAGATCTTAGGCTAGCACCAATTTTGGTGGAGAGAATAGGCACCTGGGGAGGAAAATACTTTCCTCCATCATAGATCATTCTTACAGACTTCTCAGAGGCTTAGAATATTAGCACCAGGGGAAAGGCAACACGTATCCCACATATTATCTGTACAAAAACTCAGACTGATATAAAACAGATTGTCAATATGAAATGTAATTGATCAGTAAGTGGGGTCAATTCATAAGGAAATGCTGCCTACTTATGTCTATTTTACTGCATTGCATGTAGCTCCTATCCTCAACCCAGATGAAGAAGAGGGCATTAACACAGCAGAACACATAGGCTCTCTATACCTCACCTTCTAGCCTCAACCTGGGGGCACAAAGACTTCAGTTCTATAAACATATGTTGTCTATAAAAAACTATTTCTTATCCTGGTCAGAGAGTCACAGGTACTGAATAAAACTACACTTTACCAACTACCAAGAGACACACCCCCTTGAAAAATAACAACAACAACTAAATAATCCACAATCTCCCCCTTTTTCTTAGCCAGGCAGAAATTTTAACGTAAGAGGCAGTTTACAAACTCTAGGAGATGTACACCTTGGGCTGAAATGCTAGGAAGATATCCTTTCATTGTTCTAATTGTCACAGCAATAGAAGATTAAATATGCATGGTATTTTCTCGAAACCAAGGGATTATTTTATTTCCATACAATGTATACTATTATTTGCTACTGTTATCCTTCACTTGAGGAAAACCTGCCATTTGCAGTGCAAGAGAACACACACGTAGACAGCACAGTGGACACTGACATGGACAGCACAGTGAAAGAAGAAAACATCATGGTATAACCTATCATCCTCAAATTTGGAACAAATCCAAATGGAAAAGTTTCTGATTGACAAAGCTGGCCCAAGTTACATCAGAGATCTCTGCCTCATCTGCTAGATTCCTGGTCTTAGGAAAACTGAAGTACCTGCTTGAACTGCAGAGGATGAAACAAGTAAATGAATTTGCCGGAATACTAACAAAATCCAGTAATGACTATGGAAGCGTAAGTGGTGGTAAACAGTATAAACATGTGCCTGCATAAGCTTAACAACTGACCAATTTAAAAAAAAAAAAAAAAAAGTGTAAAAAACCCCAAAGGAATATGAACATAACAGACCTTCAACAGTATTGTTTAAATACAATCATGACACAATACTATGGGTCTTGCGTCTCTCTTTGCAACAGATAAAATATTACACGCGTGTCTGTGCAAAAACAACACAGTATATCATCTCAGCTCCAAGCACTCCTTCCAAACAAAGAGAAATGTACTGATGATTTCTAATAAAGCAACAACATTTTTCCCCTAATATTGCGGAACATCCTTTGTATGGGATAAGTGATGATACAGTCATTTGGAAAATTCATTCTAACACTTTCAAGCCAATAGTTTGTTTTCTTCAACATTACCAGTGGACTGTTACTCTGGCTCCGAAACTGAATCCTATCCTGCTGAATTAAGGTTAAAACCAGTATTCCTACTGCGCAAGGTAAGCTTAAATCCTACTGGAAAAAAAAAAAAAAGTGTACTGTTGACTTCTTTTGGTAAGGAAATCAAACAAACAAGCAATGTCAACAAAATGCTACTTGAAAGATGTAGCAGTAATTCTACAAATACATTAGTAATTAAATGCTAGTTTCCAAAACAGTTAAAAATTCACAAGTTAAAGCTACCAAGATTTGACATAGGAGGTTTTGGATTCTACACATTTCTTGCACTAACTACTCGAATAGCAGTTACATGTTAATAGCTATTACACACAAAACATTAATGGTCATCTGTGGTCATATGGGAGGAAACTTCAAAAAAAACCACCCACATTATCAATGTCTGAAAGTTTATTTATTCTTAAAGGATTAAATCAATCCCATGTTTACCTTTGTCCTAATACTGTATATTTCCCCATTGTGTGTTGAATATAATAACAACTTACTGTTAGAAGATAAAATTTAAACTGCACTGATAACTACAGTCTGTGTGCTAGGCTCCCTAATTGACGAAGTCATACAAAATAGTCAGTATTCATATATTGTCCCCCTCCCCATTAAGCTCTGTTTGCCAAAGCTGGCTTTTAGAAAGTGAGATAGGCAGTAAAGTGACTTTTGTGTCAATTTACAATAACAGAAGGGCAAGCTGCAAAGGTCTTAACACTGTGCCACTGAAGTCATAGAAGTTTTGCTGCTAATTTCACAAAAAGCAAACCTGTGTGCATGGCTGTTACATGAACAAAACCCTTCTGCCAATGTAAGGGGTCAATCCCTGCACTTAAAGGCTGCAGAACTTGCCCACTGTTTAATGCTGTACTGGGATTAACCGGCACCTACAGCCCACAGTAGGTTTTTGGTTTGTTTGTTTCTGTTTGTTTGGTAGGTTGTTTTTTTGTTTTTAATTTAAACATGTTAACAAAGCGTGAAAGCTTATATTATTACTGCCAAAGCTCTGCAAAATGTACACCATGAAAAACTGTCCTGTGTTTCACAAAGAGGCTATGAGAAAGTAACTGATGGATCTTGGTGAGATAGATGCATCAGTAACAGCCTCGTGATGCTCTAGTCAAGACAGTTAAAGGTGATGCGTACCAAAGGCAATTTCTTGCATCTGGAAGCAAGCAAGTTTGATCATGATCTCCTCAAAACCAAGAAAAAAAAGATCTCTAAAACAATACACTTAACTTGCAAAGGCGCAATGAATCGCAAACAGACTAATTTCTCACCATAGCTTATATTCTGCAAGAACATAATGAAAAATTATTAACACCGAAAGCTTTTACAGCTCCAACGTAATTTGACATAACAGTTACAGATGCTGGATTCCTATGCCTCGGAGGGACACAATTTTATACAGCATATATTCAACCAACAGCAAAAACCAGTGTAGTAAGTAAAATACTAGACCCAGCTTGTGTAAACTGTAACAAACTAGGAGACATATGATTTTAACAGGGCACACCTGTGTTTAAACGAAACTATAGAAAACACATTCTAGAAAATAGTTGCTGCAATTACACTGCCTAAAAAATATCTTTGACTGTCGTTATAAAAATTGCTGTGATACCAGCAGCTGCTACACAAAACTTGCAAGGAGCGAGCGTTTCTTGTAAGGAGCTTAAGAGACACGACAGCTTTGGCACCTCTGAACATCATTCCTGTGACTAATCCCGGAGGGGATGGCAAAGAGGTATGGCAAAACGAGGTGCTCCCTCAAACCAGAAATCACCCAAATCTATGACTGGTTTGCATTCTGACGTGTATTCTCTGCAAGTCTACGGTTATAGTTAACACCTTACCAAAATAAAAAAAAAATATAAAAAAATAAAAATTCCCGCAGAGAGGGCAGGAAAGAAAAGAGTTGGCGGTCGGAGCGCCGTGACCTTGCCGTTTCTCGCCTCACTTAAAATCACTGCTGAGACGGAGCCGTTCCGGAGCCGGCGGGCGGGAGGGGAGCGGAGCCGACCGACGACCCCAGCCCGGCCCCGGCCCCGGCCCCGGCCCCGCCGCACAACTTCAGCGGGAAAGGGGCGAACAGGGGCCATTTGGGCGAGGCTGAGGTCCCGTACGCGGTGCGGGAACCGCAGGAACGGGGCGGACCCGGCCCCTTGCGCTGCCCCGGCCGCCGCCTGCAACTTCCTCACGGTGCGGGGCGCGGGGGAACCGCGTCCTGCGGGCAAACCCCCCCTCCCCCTGTGCCAGGCGGCACCCCGAGAGGAGGGAGAAGACACAGCAGCACAGCCCCGGGCTGGCTGCCGCCTCCTCACCCTCCTCAGCGGAGAACCGCGCTCAGCGCTCCGCTCTCCTCCCAGCGGGCGGAGGGGCAGCACCTACCTGGGATGGCCAGGTTGGTGAGCGGGGTGCGGTGGATGCTGCCGGGCAGAGCCGCCATCCAGTCGGCGAACCGCAG